ACAATTCTTTTTGAAGAGTTAAATAACAGGAATTTTAACAGGTTTAAGCAGACCATTATTTATAATAAGTAACTCAAAACTGTGATGCTTTGCTTTCTTGCTAACTAAGTTTACCGTCTGTTCCCACTTTCTCCCCTACCCCAGCCTAACTCCCCAATCTCTTGCCTTTTTTTCCTGAATTACAAGTTACATTTTTCTTAAGTTGATCTAATCGAAAAAACTTCTCCAATTTAATTCCACTGTTTCTGTTAAATTGAAATCAACAATCAGTTGTTTAAATTAAAATGATCATTACAGGAAAAGAAAAACAAGACAAATGCAAACGCGTATTCGTAATCAATCTGTGTAGTTTTACTCAGTTATTTGTTTTTAAAAGAACTTAAAAATAGGGACACTCTCAAAGTAGACTAGAATATCTGAATTTAAGACTGAGATCGGCATATATAAATAACAGTGATTTTGTGCAGTAAAAAAAAGCGGATACTGCGCAAAAAATAATTTTTTTTCCTTCTGATACCACAGCAAAATGTTGACCTCATTTCACTCGCCATCACCATCATAGTCACCTTTGCCTTACAGTGCCGTCAAAAGTTTCATTTCATTTTATTTTCACCTATTCGCCATCCACTTCACTCAAATTTGTGTTTTAATGACGTTTTTATGTATAGAAAAAAATGAAAAGAAAAGAAGCAAAAAGAATAAAGAAAAACAACAGAGACTAAAAAAATAGGTAAAAATCACACAGACGAAAAAAAAAAGAAAAACAGTACCAAATTGTAGCGAACGGCTACTAACGAATACAAGTTTTGCAAACTGTTTTCATCAGTTATAGACAATCCATCCATGACCAATGTCCATTAATAAAAGCGATCTTTATCAACGATTACTTGATCGGTACATCGACAACGCCATACTTTGATAGCCTACTTATTGAAATCTTCTAGATCATCAAGAACAATTAAAGGAGAACCTGTGAAATAATTAAAGAAAGTTCACTGTCTACAATTTTTTCTCTCCTGTCGCTTGTCTCATTCTTTTTTTTTTTTCAAAATTGCATTCAACTATTTTTGGTTTTAAACGCAAAAAAGGCTACTTTTTTATTTTTTTTCGTTTTAGGTAAAAAAAGAGCCGATGTAACTGTTTGAAAAAACAGTATAACTTTAGAGCAATATTTTATGAAAAAATAGACTGCTAAGAGACGGTATGCGAAGTTTGAGAATGAAAGTAAATCAAACGAAACTCGACATCTTAAAGCATTTAATCTCTAAGGCGCTGTCTTTTAAGACCAAAAGATTAAGACAGTTGCTAAAGTCGACCTAGAATTGATGACAGCCTGTGTAGCTGTGTAGTTAAAAGTTCTATATTAAACAGTCGATTGCCATATACGCTTTATTGAATAAAAAACGAAAAAAATTGTAATGTACTTTTCGCCAAATCACTCACTTAATGTTTATAAATTTTTGTAGAATTTTTCCTTAGCGTCTCAAAAACAGCTAGTTTTGGAAACCATTTTGGTAAAAAACGAGGTGATATTTGCATGGCAATTAAGAATGTCTGAGCGGTACTAAACACCAGTCAAGTTTTCGTTCAAAGGAGATGCTAAGTCTTCGACTGTTGTTTGACAGAACGTCGATAAAGTATTTCAGATAAAATCAATCGTTGGCAATCAAACTATTACAATGGATAAACATTGTATGGAACTAGAGAACACATATGTTCCTTAAAAAATGTGCTTGCGATTGGTGCGGATAAGTTAGAAACGGTTATCAAGCGATAACACTAGATAAAATGTGTCAAACACCACAGAAAAGGATGGAGAAGCCAGAGTAAAATTCCGTACCATTTTCGCCTTTCGATTCTTCCACTAATAGTTTCCTACTGATTCCGCTAGTGTTTCCTTCCGTAAAAACTCCGTTTCAAGTAAGAATATGAACAAATTAAGCATAGTGACACCTGTAGAATATTACCGTCTGTGAAGTAAGCACAACTACGACTAGTCACAAGCAGTCATTTCTCTTGTATGTTGAATCTTTCTACTAGCCTATCCACCTGGTAATCGCATCAATTGTTCATAATCACTAAAAGCATAAGCAGCGAGTATTCTGTAGATTAGTGCACATTGAGACATTTATTTTCACTTGTAAATTTCTTTCAGTCGTAAGTGGCATCGGATCTTTAGGCGTATCTGCGTATCTGTTCAAACATCATTATTGCACTTTAACAACATTCAGTGTAAGATATGGAGTCGCTGTCTGTTACTTAACATCGCTCTGTCTATTTACACTTCTTAACTGTAAACCAAAAGATGAAACTGCAACCAATGTAACAACATTACGATTTAATGCTGTATATCTGTCCTCAAAAAATTGTTTTTGAGTTTTGAGTTAAGAAACCTATACCTATCATTCAAGCTTTTGTTGTAGTGATGATAATAGTTCTTTACCTACCACATTTTCCAGTTTCTCGTTCCTTTAAAGAATTTATCATATCACTTAACTGGTACAGATGAATACCAGTTAAGTTTAAGTAAAAAATACTTCAAAGTAGAAGAGGAAAAAGGTAAAAATAATTTTTTATGTGCAACTTAATTTACTGACTTCAACAAAATGTCATTTACAACAAGGCATCTATACCAACAAATTACTTTTTCTTTCACTCAACAAAAATTTGCTGTAAAATTAGCACATATTAGAAGATACTCCTTTCACCTTGTCAGAGTAGTTAAACTCTTTCTACCACTTTGGTAATCTCCATGTATTTTGGATGATCTTCAGAAAAATTGATACCGTAAAGGTTATACTAATAATGGTTGCAGCAGTCGTCAAAATTCAACTCAAACTTACAGAAAATAGCAACGTTTCGGTAAAAGTTAAAAATCAGAAAATTTTCCACCTACTAATTAATGAAGAATTGCCTAATTGAATTACCATATCTAGAGTCCAAAATTGAAAACGCACAATTTTGACAACTATTAATTTAAAATGATATTATGAAGTACGGATTCGGTGGCCAAAACAGTGTTAATAACTATATAAATTCCTGTTGAAATATATAATAGTACGATTTCAGGATAACAGAAAACCCGCGCAATTACGGCTTTGACGTATTATAACAGCAAACAGAACAGTTTCAAAATTTTCCTGCTAAATTTGAGTATTGTGGCATTAAGTAAAATTACGCTTCGAAATTTTGATTCCTTCGTTAAGATGTTGAAATAAGCAGAAAAAAAAGGCCGAAATAAGACCCACAAAGCGCCAAAAATGAAATCTGAACAAAAATGAACATTTGTCGATCACAGATCAGTATCAGTATCAGGAATTAATAAATAAAGATCAAAAACGCCAACATCTCAAATGATACTAAATTCTTCTGACAACAAAATTCACAAGCCTTCATTTTCCTTGTCATCCTTTTTTCAAAATCTTAAATTAACAACAAAAGCAAATTACAAAACAGCTACTGTTGCACAGTTCCTAGCAAAATAAAACATATTGCCCGCCGTCTCCGAAAATGCAGCAATTTTGCAAAAGGCAGAAGCATATAATCCCATATCTATGCATGAAAAAATATTTAGCAATTTGAGAAAAATAAAATTTGATTGAACAATAACCGGTAATAAAAATCTGGCGTTTTTAGTTCAAAAATTTAGTAAAGGAAAACATCATTTTTTTTTTCATTTTCTTTCAGCACCTTTATATCTGTTTTTTCAACCCTTCCACAACCACTTTTTTACTTCCCATTAGCCACCATAATCGTAGCAGGTTAACCCAGTTTGGAAAAAAACAGCTCTTCTCTTGTTAATTCCCATGACAGGATTAAAAGGGAACATAATGACCGCTGAGCTACTAGGTGCCCCTGTGGAGAAATCTATTAACTGCCTAAATCAAAAGTAATTAAAATTACACTCGTTTCCGACATCACTCAGCAGGTAATACTTGAAAAAAACTCGCCAAATCTCTTGCCACTTGGTGTAATTCGTATCACACGCAAAATTTGTAAGAAATAGTTGGCCATTTTAATTCCAGAAAAAGCGATAATCTACAGCGTCGGGCGGTGCCTCAATAATACTTTCACTGACTTATACAGACGAATAACATTTGAAATTCATTCCTTAGAACGGTCAATAACAAAAGCGGAACCAAAAAACATAACGTGACTATGAATTACTTACCTAAACAGCATCCTACGACTCCTTTCATCTTTTTCTTTTTATGCTTGCACACTAAATCCAATATACTACCTGTCCCAAAAATTCGACTTAAATTTCTCTTAAAAGCAATCATAAAGAGTCTAACCAAACTAACATCATCCAACCAAACCCCCAAAAAACGGAAGTTTAATCAATCAAGATTAAAAGTTGGCAATCTCATTTATTCATTTAACTACATATTTATTTATTTTTTGGCTAACTCAATGTACCATGGTTTTCATCGCTTTACTGTAATTCTCGCCTACTGAATATGTTTTGAATGTAGTGCTTAAGAAAGAACTAGTACATTATTACACGGACAAGTAGAAAATTAAGAAAAGACAAAAAACGTGTACAGACGAAAACCCGTACTTGCGCACAAAAGAAAGACTACTTTTTAAAAGTTTATATTACAACTTCTTCTGGTAACCTAAGCTCTACAGCATTTTATTTAACAGTTGCTCAAAAATTTTGAAATCAACGTGAAGAATATAACAAAATAGTGGTGATTAGACAGTCAAAAAATATAGAAGAAAAAATAAATTCCTGACGAAAAATTGATATACTTCTAGTCTAGTCTAAAGAAAAATAACTGACAACTAACAGCATAGTATGTTACACTTTCCATATTACCAATATTACATTCCCGATAAAAATACCAAATTTTAATCAAGAAAAATAAGTTCAACGAGAACTACTGTAAAGTATGCAGGTTATCGTCAGAACTATGCAATATTAGCTGTCCATTTAAGAAAGACTAAACTGAACGTTGGTTCTCGCACCTAATTTGAGTAAAACAGTAACAGTTAAACTAGCTGAACTCCTGAGCATACGAATGATCCGCCAACAAGTCGTCGTTATCTGATTTATCGAGTCCATAATATCTTCTCAAAGTTTTATTCTTAGGGATAAAAATTTTTTTGTCAGCCAGAGACACGATTGACCCCGAAGGGATTCCTATGAACAATTGGTCAATTGGTTTCTCCTCTAACTCCTTCTTACGTATCCTCTTGTAAGCAAATATTTCGGCCAACTCTTGCTCGGCCTCCTCAATTTCCTCTTTTTTCGCCAAATACCCTCTGTTTTTGGGGTCCATATAATAAAGCATAAGGTCTGCAGGAGGCGCCTTCCGCCTAGGTACAACATTACCTGCAAAACTGGCACGAATGTTCATAATATCGATAAAATGATAGAATAAATTGCGCAACTACTGTTCCACTGAAAGCGAAGCTCTTTCAGCTTGGTGATCTCACTTTTTTTCAGCCAGTGAACCCAATGAACGATGTCTGTAACAATTGTAGCCTCATTCCGTTTTGGCCGGTAAAAGCGATAAGACATAAACCGAAACAGGGTCTTAAAAACTTACACTGAAGATGAATATCAAACAGAATCTCGCAAGTGAGAACGCTGTGGAATTTCAAAGTAACAAAGCAATAAAGAAACTGAAAATGAATAAAAATTTGCAATTCAGTTCTGCCAGAGGCAAAAGAGAACTTGATAGGTGAAGCCCCACAAATGTAAATAAACTTTGCCAACCAGCCAATTTCAAGACTCATAAAATGAAAAGGTAAACGACACCAGAAGACGCGTAAAAAAATAAAAGTTTACACTCATTTACTTCAGTCCCTCAGTCCAATTTTTTTCCACCTAATTACCCCCTGCAAAACTCAAAAAAGAATAACTTAATTTTCACCTCCATTTACAAGACTAGAAAAGCAGCTAAGGAATAGAGCAAAAAAAAATCAAACCTTCTAAAAACCACTTTTCTGGGTTTACAGCAGCCCGGAGAGAGAAGGCATCATAATAAGCGGTTCGTATATTACCACCAGCTCGTTCAACTGCTGCAATAACAGTTTGCGGAGCAAACTGCACTTCCAGATTCACGCAAGCAGCAAATATGTCTAGTCCCTAAAAAGAAAATTTACTTAGCCCATGATCAGCTTAAATTGAAAAAATAAAAGAATTTAAAGAAATCTGAAGAGATAAAAGTAAATAAACCTCATCCGTTAATTGCACACCAAACTGTCTCAAAGTTGGATCACACCTATACCTCTGAGTATTGCAAAGAGCCGTAAGATCAATCAAACGATCTGTGTTCAGCCAGCCCAGGTCGATTAATCGTTGCAATTCTAGAAGCGACAAAGGCCGATACTCACGCCTTAAGCTAAAATTAAAAATTCACTACTCAAACACGCATAAACCAGACGATGTCCGTTGCGAACTCAAAGAACTTACTTGATATCACCATTAAAACTGTATTCGCTGGGAAATATCCTCTGCCACGGCTTATAAAAATCACCCCATACCCATCCAATTGGTGGTTTTGCAGCATGCTGCAGCTCTCCAATGGTATGGCCAGCCTGATTCATTGTTGCTTTTACCACACGTGCCTAAAAATACGACTACAGCAGAACGTTCCCGCTTTCATTGTTTAAAAAACCCCCTAGACTTAACTGAACACCTGCGATTATTATCAGACCACCTGTAATATCACGGCTTTCTTCACTACCTTCAACACCTCTGTCCTTCAGCGGTACCTGGTAAATGTCTATTACATTATCTGACTCTACACTCAATGACTTACCCTCGTGCGAGCTCCAGGATTATCCTTCAGATCACTAATTTTTATCCTACTAGCCTTTTCTATATAACGAAGTGCTCGTTCACTCGCAGACTGGATACCCTTCGACATGACTGAAGTAATTTCGAAACACCAATAGCCTTCTGAAGCTATGTGAACCTCGGAATCCCACGTCTACGCGCGAACGCTAAATAGATGTGCCTACTACTACCCCGACTTGCCTTGAAAAACCAATATGAAAGAACCCTACCAAATAGGACTAACTATCAAAGTATAGAATAAGTATAGAATAAACTAACGGATTAAAAGCACACCACACTTAAAGTAGCATCACCATTTACCCGACATAACAGAAAACCAAATATGTAGCTGAGAACACCCTTGAAAAACTCACAAATATAACAAATTCTTGGCTATTCCTACACGCTTTCAATCCCAATCTGCTCATTTTACTGAACCATAACTTCATTGCTCCAAGTGTACAACGTTTAAAGTCTAAAAATTGTCACCAAGCTAAGTCAGGAAAGTTAGTTGTAACATGTATCAAACCAACAATAATTTCAAAACAGATCAGTGCGACCCTCAATACATTCAGAATCAAAAAAACAGCATTTCTGAAATTGTACGAAATATCACTAAACAGTGATATGATTCATCACAAAACACAACAACCTGAAGTAGAATATACAAAAGAACACCAACATTTCATCATTTAACATTGAAACATCCTAATAAAGATAAAGAATGATCTTAAAGTTAAACATTTTCCCTGCGGATATATAATATATGTATATTTGAAATAAAGTTTAATTGCCCAGTCACTCGCATTATCCCTACTTATGTCAGGTCATTTTCCACATAAAACCGAGAAGAAATAAACAGTTTGTTATTAAGTTCAAATGAAGCCAATAAATTCTCACAAAAATCCCCATTCTTTAAGATTCTCACACATCTAACTGTGTACAAAAATGTCAGATTTGAAATACAAAGATATGCAAATAGGTATCAAAACCCGCGATCAAAAAAGATTAGATTTAAAAAAATAAACAAATTAAACTAAGATAAGGCAAGGTAAACAAAGCAAAAAAGGACAATAAATTACTAATTCCTCCTGATTCATTCAAACACTTGATAAGCGAGAGAATCAATTCGCTGTCTTTTCCACAAAAATAAAACAACTCCTGCGCCAACTGCACCTCCAAGCAAAAGCATAAACATTGCTAGTATAAACATAGAACCACCAGAGTAGCCTTGGTAAGATGGTGGTACTGGAGGCATGGGACCCCACGTTTCTGGCAATGTCTTCAGGGTTGATTGAGAAATGACCCATGACTAAAAAAAAAAAATTACTCAAAAAAATTTTTTTACGTGCTAAAATAAACAAAAAGCTGTCAGTTCATAAGCATTAGCCAGCTATCCCTTAATTCAACAGCAGGCAAACGAGGTAATTAAACGGAGCAGCAGAAGGAGAAATATTGTGAAATAAAAAATGACCGATTTCTCCCCACTGATAGTAACAGGAACATCTTGTTTCGAAAAAGTGCTGTTCAATGCTGTAACTACTTCTTCAAAAGTTGTCTCTTTCTGAAAACAATCCAACATAACAAGAAAGCCAAACGCATAGATAAAGTATTGCTCTCAATCAACCTTTAAAAACTGTGTCTGAAGAAAGAATAACATACTGACCAGAGATATTATGAGACCATCACAGTTTGATACCTTAAAAAACTAACCTTCATGTCCTTTGTTTTCGTTGGTGTTTTCGTTGTTACATCACTCAAAGAAAAAAGCACCAAAACTTCACCTCCGCTCTTTTTGAACTGTAAATGAAAGAAATATCTTTTAGTAACCGCTAAAACTATAAGTTATTGGCATGTAGATCACGATCCTTAAAAATAACAAAAGAAATTTGATTGTCCCTTAGAAGGTTTAGTTATTTCAAGGCTTTTACAGATCTTCAAAGCTTATTCCTTTAATAAAGTTACGAGAGCGCCAGAAAAAACTACATCCTCCCTTACGACCCCAAGAGAGTGAAATATTCCTTAACCAGCCAAAAAACATGTCAACACCAATAGGAAAGAGCGGTTTTGTTAACAGGAAGTTCAAAAACCAGGATAACACAAAAATAAAGGATTTGAAAACCACATTGTTAGTTTAGGCAGATAAAAGCAACGACACCGTAACCAAGAAGTTAAAAGCTCACAAAAATGTCACCAATACGAAGAACTGAAACATTTCCAAACTCTGCAATCTTCTCCTTCAAAGCAGTCTTCACTCTCGAGTAGCCAAGTCTTGCTAAATCTGTTAAAGATCCTAAAAAGTAAGCTGCTTGGATAATTATATCATGGTAGAAACCAATCCGCAGTCTAAATGGAAAATAAAATCTTGAGTACTAGATAAGCAACAATTTACACTAAAACAATTAATTTGTGATAACTCTGATAAAATGCTACTGCGAAAAATAATACATTTGATCTAATCTGTATCTTCAAAACCAGCACAGAGGTATGAGAACTGATAAAAAAGACTTCTAAAAGACATGACATTATTCGCCTTACTATCTTAAGCATCGAAAGAAAGTTTGCAAAATAGAACAGGTTGAAACAACTTCAAAAAGCATGTAGCAATGAAATGAACCCTTGTTCAAGCTGAAAGTTTACTCATTGTCGTCCCGCTAAGCGACACTGGCCTCTGCTAAGATTAAAGATTTCAATGGCAAAGAACCTTTTCAGTTGCTTTCCATACTTTTCTTCTAATGCTCTCTTAAAGCGCAATAAGTGAACTGAATATTCACAGAAAACCAGTCTGTAAAATAAAATCTGAATTTGCGTAGACCTCCCACTAAAACTTATGAAAACTTCTTATTCATAGCCTTTGGCACTTTTACCGGCGACAAATACACAGTATTTTTGTAAATAGCTGACCACAAATAGCTAAATAGCTGAATATAACTTTGAAACACAGAATAGAGGGTTAATTGCGAACACAAATAAATAATCCTATTATGTTATGCCTTAACAACTCGTCTGCTGATAAAAAACAATCCAAACTGTAAGATTTCGCAGTAGGAGAGGTATGACGGTAAAAATCTCTTAAAAATTTGGATAAAGCAAAAGAAAGTTCAAAGATCGAGATCGCCCAAAGATCTTGGCAACCAAAGTAAACATCTGTTGGTTTTGTACCAGTGTAGTTATATTCGGCTGACTGCATTTAATAGTAGTGTGGCGGGATGTAGAATGAAGTCACAAAGAACCTACTGCATCAACAATTCAGAACCTTGTGTCAGGAGAAAATAACAAGCTTGACACTCGTACGGAATTCGTCAGTAGGCGGACTGGCAGTCAGCCAATTCCAAACCTCAGTGAAAGTTCATTCTGTTAATGCCTATACCTGCTCAGCAGAGTCACCTAGTTTAAAGAAAATATAAAAAATTTGAAGTATCAAACCTCCCATAAACTAATTACCGGAAATGATTGGAATGTAAGGAACGTTTGAAAATTTTGGAAGAAATAAAACCTGTACATATCGCAATACATTTACTGTTTTTAGAGAATTAATAGTCAATAAAACATACCGCCCTTAAGTGATGCATAAAGCGAAGCGTTTTCAGAAAATTGAAGACATGATTGAACTGAAACAGGAATTTTAGATAATGCAGCGCTCGTCAAGTTACGAAGTACAGTTAGTTCAAAGGATTTCAGTGAGAGCATCTTTCCAGTTAAATCCTATAAATTCTAATACGTTATTGCTCTGTTGGCTAAATAACATTTGCTGTTAGATGAGTCAGATAACAAACAAAGTGAAATATCATATGTAACAACAAACCTAGTAAAGAACTACCTTTTCATATAGCAGAACTGCATGAAGCTGACTTTGCTTCGAGTCCTCAGCTCCCGCCACAAACAGCAGTTCAACAACATCTTGATTATCTTGTACAGATTTAAATTTAGACACATAAACATTCATCTTTCTATCACTGACCACTCGCTGTAACTATTAGATTAAGTTTCAGACAGAAGAAAATTAAACTCTGAAAACTCATACCGCTTGTCACCAAAACTTGTCCAGACAGGGAACTGGACTCAATTTTACTGTAAAACAGAAAATTAAGAAAAACTCTTATTTTCAAAAGAAAAACCGCTACCCGCTCAAGCATTGTTTACTGCGGCACTTATAGGAAAATTTGTCAAAAAAAGTGTTGGAAACAGAGGATAGCATTACCAAAGTATAAAAATACTGTTGCACACAAAGGAGAATCTAGACCCAGAACAATTAAGGAAGTTTTACAAAACCGCAATCCCTCTGAATTTTCACCACTACAATAATCTCTGCTGCCTTGTTCAACACTTTCTCCAATAATTCTATCACTAAACTTCATTTTCAGGAACCATTAACCTAAGCCGTAGAGCGAAGACTTTTTAGAACTATGAAAAATTATGAGACTTACAGAAAATAAGACTGAAAACATCTTTAACACAGTAGTCAGAAAAGTTAATAAACTATAAATAAATCTCTGTCCCTCACCTGACCAGCAAAATAAAACTGAGATTGCGTCAAATTCAAAAAGATGTCATTTGCAGATTTCATATCAATCACTTCCGCATTCAAATGGGTTACATCACTGTAATTAGCTCCTATCCCAGATACACCAAGACAGGTATCCAGCGTTGTATCAATGATAAACTGAGAGCCTTAAGAAGGAAGAAAGCCATATACTCGTCAGTTATTGAAAAAAACCAGATTTGCTAAAATTAATAAAAGTTAAAGTGATCCAAGAGGAAAGCGTTCAAACCGTAATTAAAGTCATGAACTATAGCCACACGCTGCCCCTTTTTCGCAACATCAGAGAAGTTTCCCATGAAGGGTATTGTCCCATCCTTCCTGACGTCGCCTTCGAAAGTTAGCATGCGACCAACAGCATCGTAATAGACCTAGATGTCAAGCAGAAATAAAAAGTCGTTGCACCAAAGTTTACAGTCAGCATGAAAATAATTCAATACAGTTCCTAAACAACTTCCCACAAAACTCTGCATACTTCCAACACATCCGAATCCTCTTTAGAATCCACAGCGTACGAGAAGCTTCCTTCGAATTTGGGCGGAAAAACTGTAGGAATTTCAGTTATAGGCATTTCAGAACAAAACATTCCCACTGGCATCTGAAAAAATAGGCATTGCTAGAAGCAGAATGTTATCCAAACATCACTTTCTTTTTTCTACAGTTGAGTAAACGCGTAGTGGAACAAATAAAAAAAGCAGTGATATATCTAACATTTAATAAGGTATAACCTTGTTAGATGGTTTATTAATGCCCTCCAACTGAACAATTTCAAATACAGAAGAATTCAACATCTTGACCTGACCAGTAGCTAGAAGAAAAATCAAACTTCAGGGAGCAAAAGACGAAAAAAAAAGTAACTGATGGAGAAAGAAGTAACAAAAATTTATGAAAATCAAATAAAACTAAACATAAATTTTTGAACGTCAGTTTAAAGAAAAAAAAATAAAAGTATTACTGTTAAAGATTAAAATGCGTATAGACAGCAAGTACGGGTTCTTAAGCGTTGAAGAATAAGGTTTCAGAACAGATGCACGACCAGTATGTATCACTTCAATCTGAAAATGCCGAACTACCAGTTTAGACACAGGAACACTGAAGGAATAACGATAAAAATACGACATTACCTGCAAGGTTATGTTGGGTTTGCCAGTATTGTTTAAGCATCCAACCCACTGCAGTGCCTCTATACCACCAAAATCAACTGGGTTTGCGGAATATTGTGAACTCGAGTTACTCGAGTTTTTCTTGTAATTTTCTATACTTGTAAGCAAATGGCGAAGAGACATCCCATCAAACGAAATAAGTCTTTGTACAGAGTCGTCTATCACATATATAGGTTTAACAGTTGACACATTCGAGAAACCATTGCATGTTGTGTCTAAAAGATTCGGAGAAACAGGAATTAATTAAACTGTTATAAATTTGTTTTTAGCCAATGTAATTGGCGGAAGGACCATAGTAATAGTATCCAAAATGAGAAGAGCAGAACTCCTAAAAAAAATAAAAGACGATAATATCAAAAGTGTTCCTTACGAAAATCTTCTTTGAAAACTTTACATTAACCTTAGAAATCTTGAGAAATGAAACAATTGTGACCTAGATTAAAACAGTACCAAAAGTGTAAGCTTCTGCAAGTGACTTTTTTTCAACATATTGACTCTATTTCCCTTCATTTCAAAAAATTAACTCACCATTAAAAACAACATTGAATTCTCCAATACCAACATTTACAATACCCTCATTAGTCATCCTCTTCAACCAAACTTGATCCTTAGAATACTCCTCATCAAACAAAGCAAGACCGAACACATCATTATAAAACCGAATTACTGCCTTAACATGGAAGACAGTTAATATGGCAGGAAACAGAATTGACGACAAATATAGAAATTGGGTACCTCAAGCATTAACTAACGTTATCTCAAACTTAAGTGACCACCAATACGTAAATAAGAGCAACTTACTGAATAACTGACAGGTAGCAAATTTTTTTCCAAAGATTCGTTGCCTCTTTTTTCGAAACCACATTGGAAGGTATAATTATAAGATTCCTTGGAGTTATAAGATCCCTCAGATAACGTGGTTAATAATGCCAGAAGCACTGCGAGCAACAGCATTTGTAATGATCGCTAAAATGACAAAAGTTGTTAATTTTGCCAAAAAATAACAAGAAGCAACTTGAATCGCCATCTTAAAACTGTAAAGCGAAACAGTTGACAAATTATTGGGGACCTCAGACACTGTTTCGCTATAATAAGCTTAGATTAAAATGTGTTTTCTAGCTAAAAATTGACGTATCTAAGCCAAATAGCCCGGTGTCGACAGAAATTCTTATGTGACACTCCACACGATCTGCTAAAGTATTCCATGCAACTTCTATGCTTTTTCGGGAATTTACATAACGCTCTCAGACCTCTAGCAGTTTAAGCTTCCAATAATACCCGCTTCATTAGTATTCTTGAAAGTTTTAACAAAATTTCAAACTGCACTTTCAACTGTTTAAAAAAATTCAAATTTAATCCGAATTCATCAAATGACCGTTGAGAAAATCCAGCACTCGTGACCATTTACGGTCAACATCAAGGCACTTACGACTTCACTATCCATTCAACTGCTTGCGCATGGCAGCTGTACAGGAGGTCGTTGCGGAAGTTAACTGGGTTGGCCGTTAGAAATTAAATTCCTGAATTTGGGTACAAATAACAACGTCAAAAAGTCATCAAATTAATCAATTAAAGTAAATTTGCATTTTGTAGTCATAGTTTTAGTAACCTGTCTCAAAGTAATTCCCAACCATGAAGAAAC